AGAGAGATTTGGAGCCGTCGGTTGTCAATGACCGGGATGATGACATTGAGGAGTTCTCTTCGCAGGAAGATATGGTTACTGGTAATGGTAGCTTCAATACCTGGTTAAATTTGTGTCCTTTTTCTGTTTTTAGCATTTCTTGTGATATGGGTTTCACGATTTTGATTGATGAGGTTAGTATTGTCACAACTAATTTGGGAATTTGTTAAGAGTTTTGATTAATGGAGTCAGATGTGATATTTGTAAATTCGGGGTAAAAAGCCCTAATTTTGAAGCAGATTGCTGATAACTAGCAATGCTGTATTTTGGATTGTTCAAGTTTTCCCGGATTATTTTGTTCATTGGAAATAAATTTAATTGGATTTAGATTATTAGTAGGATAGAAAAGACCGTAGGATAGAATATTTAGTAGGAAAACAAAAAAGCTCTTGGTTTTTCAGATGCATTTCTGGTTATGAATAAAATGTTAAAAGTTTTATGCCAGCATATAGTTGGGAATAAGCAGTTTTGATCCTTTTGAAGTGTAAAGTTCATTCTGGAATCCTATGCTCGCATAAGATCCTTAACACGCTACAAGAGTGTGATTGCCATAGAGTAGTTTACTTGCAGTTTGGAATTTCCTGCTTTTAGTTGTGAATGTCATTTTATTGTTGATTGATATTTCCAGCATAAGCTCTCATTTCTTGTTCTTATTTGCAGTTGTGGATCCACCAACAAAATACCATTCTGCATGTAGCACTTCAAAGATGCCCTTGCGTGGAAGTGGGGTTTTAACCACAAAATCATCTATCCAGGGCAAGGTGGGGAAAAAGCAGCTGGCTTCGGAAACTCCAGCTTGCGGGAGTTTAGAGGTTGGGCAGAATGGCTTGATATTTCCAAAGTTGACAATCAGTCCTCTTCGAAGATTCCAGCTAATTGATTCTGATTCTGATGATATGTCTGTCAGTGAAGACATAAATAAAGGAGCTAATAAAACTGATTCATCATCAAAGAAACAACAATCTATTTCAGGTGAACAAAAGAGAAAAGCATCATTACCCGACAATGAAGATTTGTGGAAAGAGTTTCCTCCAATGAATAACTTTCGTATCCCAACTCCTGCTTTTGATGAGGTCTTTGAAGAATACTTTCAACCTGCAAAGGATAAGAATGCAGCTCAGAAACTAGGCAGCCAAAAGTTTGAGCAACAGTGTACTCCAAAAGACCCATTGCCTCCTGCACATCGCTATTTTTTCCATGATGACTTGAGGATTCGGAAACTTGTTAGTGATCGCTTACCTTTCTTCTCTCCCTTGGGTGTTGTTGACAATGGAGGGAACCAGCAATCTAGTGCATCAGCCATTGATTACATGTAACTGGCTTCACATCCATTCAGTTTTTTGCATTGGATTTTATTTCATGTTCATTTTGCATTTATGTGCTTAATGTCATTGCAGGGGTCAATTTTGCAATGGAGAAACTTCTAAACACAAAGCAACTCAAAAGATTAGCAGCCAGAATTGCTCTACTAGTAGAAGAAACAAATCAAAAAAACCAATGGCTGAAGATGTTTTACATCCGTCTGAAGGTTGGGTTGATCCAAAAAGCAGTGCTGCAGTTCCAAAGAATGCTGGAAAAAGAAGGGTCCATGCTAATGGTCAATCTGCTGGTCACTGGTATACATCTCCAGAAGGAAGAAAGGTATGCTATCATGTCTTGTGATTTAGATTTGGATAAATCTCTCATAAGCATCAGCTAATAGCATTTGCCACTGAATACATACATAAATGAGAATTGGGGTGGACAGTTCCTATAAAAACTTCTACAATCAGCTTGACCTTCTATAATGTCATAATTAAGGAGATGCTGTTGACGTGCCATTTCATGCTATTATGGAATATCTGAAAATTTTCCTTATGCATGATCCTTCCCATTTTTTTTATCCCTTTTGAGATTTAAATGTCAGGACATCCTGTGACATTGTTCAAACATCCTTAATGAATCTTCCTTGTGTGTTGATTCATTAAGGGTATTTTAATCTTTTCATTCTCACTCTTGACATTGTAATTGCCAGGGCGTCCTAATTTTCTTCAATCCTTTTTATTTTAATTAACAGAAAGTGTTTTACAGTCCGGACTGTAAAACAGTGCACCCATTACTTAATTAGACAGATTGTAATTCTCTGTTTAACAAAGAAGTTCTCTTGGCTTGGTAATTAGGGCTTATCCCAATATTCAATTAAACCCTCCGCAGGTATATGTCACCAAAACTGGGCAGGAATTGACTGGTCAGATTGCCTACAGACATTATCGGAAGGTATCTAAAAAGGCTCTTTCCTTCTCTCTTACCATTTCCTCCTCTTTTTATTGAAAGCCAAGGCCTATTGTGGCATTTATGTTTGATGAATTGTGATGAATAGAGACATTTTTATTGAAATTTTATAGGGTTCTACTTGTTTAAGTTTACATACTATTGTTGCTGACAGGAGAGTGGAGCCGGACGAAGGAAGACCAAGAAGAAAAGCAATGCCAAGAAGCGAAAAGGGTGAAGATTAATAATCTGAAAAGCTTGGCTGCCATTTTTATTTCTTGTAAATGTTGTAAAATTTCCTCTCTTCATCTATGTTCTATTCTCTTTTATAACTTCTACATTCCATTTTACCGTAATCCTGAGAAATGGTTTTACCATAAATCTTTTTCATTCATTCACTCAATTGTTTTAATTCATGTGAGTAACCAAATATAATTTTATTTTATTTTATTTTGAACACGGGGGATTTTGGGGATGGGGAGATTTTACAATGTAAGATAATCTTCTTATTCTAAACCTGGTCAAGGGCCAGGAATGCAGATTCACTGCCACTGCAGCCCCTGGCTGCAGGTTGGCTGCAGGTGCGTGCGGGTATGATTGATTCATGGAAGATTAAAAGGTACAAGCAATTTATATTTGGAATATGCTTCCCCTCAAATTAATGGTCCCACTGAAAACCCAAGTAAAGGTTCTTATTTTCTTTAAAAAAAAATGTACAGTTGAATTTGATGGTTGATGTTTGATGTTAAGGGATGGTAGTTGTTTATTATTTATTATTTTTTTTAACCCTTTCGTTTTTGCTTTGGCTTCAAACACGAGACTTTTAATGAAAATTTAAATTTTTATCTGTTGATTTTTTTTTTTTTGGAACAAGTACAATTATTTGGGTGGTGAAATCGTAATTGTACCACATATGAGAGCACATGGATGCACCTTATATCCAACAAAAAGCATTAAAATGCAAGAACTTTATAGCAAAATTCCAATCTTTACCCAACAAACAACAAAATGGCACCAAAGTTTCAATTTTTATTTCTCTTGTTGGAAAGAAATAATTTCAGTCTGTTTGGTTCCATTGTAACTTCACATTTCTCAATCCCTTACCGCCACACTTTCCGTCTTGTTCTTGTCTTGTTCCAAAAAGCCTTGTCTTTACACTGCTTAGTCTACAAGTCACTAGCAAGACTTGCTTATATCATATCCACGAGTTCGTTGGTCAATCCTCGTTTCTCGGCCTTTCTCTGGGGTTTCATGCGTCAAGTTTCCAAGAAAATTTCTCGGTGTTCAAGGTATAAACTAGTCATAATTTGCTTGTCAAGAAAAGTGGATAAAATACTAAACTGTTGTTTTGGGTTTTTGATTGGGTTGCCGAGAAGTGTGCAATAGAATGAGTTGAGTCCTTTGAACTCTATCAAACTAATCTAAATATACTTGGGTTTGACTTGCTGGATTGAAGGTGCTTCCTTTTTGTTTGTTTTCTGGGAAAGTGAAGTAAAAAGCTTGAGATTGCTGCTGGGATGTTGTTGTTTCAAGCGGTTTCTCGGCAACGAAACGGAAAATTATTGGTTTTTTGTTTAATGACAGGTTCTGACCTTCTTGTCTCTTTTTACCAGTTTCAGTACGGTCTCTCATATGCTTTTCTTGCTTCCGTTTTGCTTTTTGAGTAGGATTTAGCTGCGATTCCCTTGTTTGGTTACTGAGAAAAACTAAAGGGAAGGAATCGAAAGTTTGCAATAATTGCACTTATTCTCTATGTAGTTAGTGATAATGAAATTAAAATCTTGGATTGTGCTTTCTTTCAGAATTTCTTGTAAACGGGGGATTTTACAAGGTTTCTATTCCTTTCTTTTGTTTCTCTTTTCTGGCAACAAAACAGATTCCTATTTAATGAGTTGATTTCTCTCACAATTTGTTCAGTTATTGTTTTCTTCAGGGTAATCTCTGTTTGACTTCACCACCTTGCTTTTGGCTCGTGATTGATGGAGAATACTGGAGGGGGTTCTTTTCTAAGAAATAGAAGATTGGAGAACTTCCTCCATACAAATTCTGTCCCAAATGTGAGGGAAACCCGGAAATTTTCTGAGAAAGATGCTGCAGCTGACAGGTCTTTGACAGATGTTTGTGTTGATGATGATGGATGGATAAATTCATTGATATCTTGTCTGAGGATCATTACTTGTTTTGTGACAATGATGGTTACAACATTTATTTGGGCATTGATCATGCTTATGCTCCTGCCCTGGCCTTATCAGAGAGTCCGGCAAGGAAACATCTATGGCCATGTCACTGGTAGATTGCTGGTATGATTCTCTTGATTCCTCAAAAATTTGAAAGTGGATTTGTTTTGGTATTGATTCTTTTCACTTTTATGAATATGAAAAAAATTAAATCTGTTGGTGCTTTTCGTTGTTTCTAGACTTCCTTATGGTTGCTTATAAAAATGGGTAAGAAAACAAGGAGAGGAACAAGGAGAGGAAGAAAAAGGAAAGCCTTATCTAAGTGGACAAAATTCCAAGCTTCATTTGAAAATATGTTTATTACTTAACTCAATTATCAAATGGTTCCAAATTTAGCCTGTTTCCTCTCTTTTGACAAATTTCTTTTAGCAGTTCTTCTCACTTTTAAAATTTTCATTATTATTTTTTTGATTGCTGAAACTGTCATAAGCAAATTTAATAAGCTTTGTGGATGTAGATGTCTAGGTACTATACGAGATATGTGGTCTATACTTGACTTTATTTTGGAATGCCATCTCAATCAAATTTATTGATTTGGGAAGGTAATCATTTATGTTTATTATTGTTTTATTTATTTCCTTTTGTAAGGATATATGAGGGGGTTGGTGTCTGGATTGGATTGTCCTTAGTCGATAGTCCATTTTCAGAGTAAAACGGTAAATTTAATGTAACCTAGGTGAAATGGAATGAAACATTGGACAATGATGCTGCATTGGGGAAAAAAATGGTAAATTTTGTGTAAATTTTGTGATACATGATCTTAGCTTTGAGAGCTTTAATGGTATTGGTAGAGGAATGTTTGTAGGGTCAATTTGGCAGCTTCATAGGAGTTGTTCTGTTTATATTCAAAGTAAAGTCCATAAGCTTACATAGAGCACTTGTCTGAAGTAAAGTTAAATTAAACTGTAAATTGGAAGAATTGCACCATTTAAATTTTTGAAGGTGAATCTTGTTTTATGTGTAATATGTTTATCTAATTTTAAGATTTTTATGAAGCGGAGTCGTTGACATTTTAAACATACAAGTAGTTGATGATAATGCTACCCTTCAATAGTTCTTAAGTCACTTTCCTGTTAGATAATTGGAATTTTGAATGTTTATTGATTGTAGATGTGGATCTTAGGAAATCCAGTGAAGATTGAAGGTACTGAGTTCTCTAATAAGAGGGCTATATACATCAGTAATCATGCATCTCCCATTGACATTTTCCTCATAATGTGGTTGACTCCAACAGGCAGCGTTGGCATTGCAAAGAAAGAGGTGTGTGCTACCACTTTAAATTTTGCATCCTGGATTTGTTCAAAGGCGTTAACTAGCAAGGTTTCCCATATGTACATCTTCTGCCTAGAATCTGAGATGAAAGTTGAAGATTTAATCTATTAGATAGCCCCTTAGATCCTAGTTTATTAGGACAATAGAGATTAGGTTTTACATAAATTTTTGTAGCTTAGATGAAATGGGCTTAAGAAATTCAGTTTCACAGATCATATGGTATCCCCTATTTGGACAACTATACGTTTTGGCTAATCATCTCCGCATAGATCGTTCCAACCCAACTGCAGCCATTCAGTCCATGAAAGAGGTACACCATTTCCTTCCCCCTGCATCATCTATCACAGGTTTGCATATATTTCTAACTTACCCTTCTCTTCTCATGTTCAGGCTGTAAATTCTGTTATAAAAAACAAACTTTCGATGATCATTTTTCCTGAGGGCACCAGGTCCAAAAATGGACGACTTCTTCCCTTTAAAAAGGTAAAATTCGAAACCTGTCTTGCATATGGTTTTCTTTCAAATTTATGATAGAAAAAAAAAAGCAGTAAGAGGTACAATAACAACTTAGTGCATTGCTGGGTCAGCATGTAAATGGTGCTATGATATGGTTTCCTCCTTTCTTTTATTTTCAAATAATTGAGGAAGACTGAACGAAGAGCAATTACAACTAAATGATTGGTCTTTCTTCACCAAATATGGTTCTTCATAACCATTTTCATATCCAAGGGCCAATGTATGTTGTTATGCATTTAATGTTGTAGTTTCTTTTCTGGTTGTTTACTTATGCTTTGTGCTGCTTTCTGGAGAGATTACCAATCTCTTTTTCCTATTCTAAGTTGCAGGGTTTTGTTCATTTGGCCTTGCAGTCACGTCTTCCAATAGTTCCAATGGTGTTAACAGGTACCCATTTGGCCTGGAGGAAAGGTACCTTACATATTCGACCAACACCCATAACTGTAAAGTATCTTCCTCCTATAGAGACTGATAATTGGACCGCCGACAAGATTGATGACTACATAAAGATGGTACACAACATATACATCGAAAACCTCCCCGAGTCTCAGAAGCCAGTCATCTCAGAAGGTACCTTGAATGGTTCAACATCATAGTTGAGTTGCCTCATTGTACAATAAGCAAAAGGGAATCCTCTACTTAGATTAGAATAAATAGTTATGTACGGAATAATTCGTTTCGAATTAGTGGTATAGATTTTGAGTTAAGGCGATTAGTTCCTGTAGATGATCTATTCGAGTTTCACAGATTTTTTTTTTCTCCTCATTTAATATATGTAAATAATTTTAATTTGTTTAAAAAAAAATAATGTATGATATTTCCTAGTAATGCCTTTAAGTGGTGGTTAAATGGTTATAAATTTGAGATTTTACATTAGAGGTCTCAAATTTAAATTTTAAATTTAATGAAAAAAATTCATAAAAAAAAATTATCTCATTTTATATAATTTATTATTATTTAATGTATAAAAAACACTAATTTTCTTGTAGTCTCGTGAGCAAGATCATTCTACCATCATAGCTCATCATGATGTGCTTTTAGGGGTGTCGTGTAACTTTAATGGGACCAAACTTTTACTCTAGGCCTTAGGGTGCAATTGTGAGGTAAAAAAGATTAAGGGTGAAATTGTTAGAAAAAAAAAAAGATT